TATTTTTTATTTTTTTTTTAGACTTTAGAAAGCTGATCAAATATCGAGTTAAATATTGGTGGGGTGGCCGATGTCCGATATTCAGTTTTAAGGCCGATACAGGCCGATAATGATAGGGGGCCGATTATATCGTGCATCCCTAATATAAACAAAAAAAAAAACAGCATCTAAGGTATCAGAAAGATAAGATTCAGATCTAGCCTTGTCTGCTAGGTGAATACTTTTGTGAAATAAAGAAAAAAAACTTTTATTCAGGTTATCAACTAGAGGAATATATCCATCAGTCACGCTTCATCCCTGCTGGGGTCGCTGGTGCCTATCTCCAGCTGTCTACAGGCAGAGTCTGACCCTGGACAGGTTGCCAGGCCGACACAGTTAAACAGGACAAACAACCATTTACACACCTAAAGAGAATAAACCTAACAGTCATGTGTTTGGACTGTGGGAGAAAGCCGGAGTACCCGGAGAGAACCCACACATGGTCAGGAAGAACATGCAAACTCCATGCAGCAAGACCCCAGGCCAGGAATTGAACCCAGAACCTTCTTGCTGCAAGGCAGCAGTGCTACACGCTGCATCACTGAGAAGCCAAGCTGACCAAGTAGTCAAACAATTATTAATATAACACCTGATGATGGATTAAAAGTACACTATCTCTCTTTGGTGGATCTCTTTTTGAGATGGATCCAGAACTACTGCAGGATAATGGCAGAGATTAGTTTGAAGAAGAGAGGAACATCTTTGTATTTCATATTGCAGCACAGCATAGATTATTACACATATTTTGAAAGTTTTTTAAGACAGTGGGAGAAAACTAAAATCGTCAAAAATCTTATTTAGAGTCAAAATACATGTTTAGTTAGCTCAAATAATCAGCTATTACTGACAGTCCCTCGGACCCGACTTAAGAGTAAAGGAGATCTGGCTTTTTCTGTTGTTGCTCCAATTTTATGGAACAATTTACCTTTTCAAATTAAATCTGCCCACAGCCTGGATCATTTTAAATCGCTTCTTAAAACTCATTTTTATTCTTTNTTTTCAAATTAAATCTGCCCACAGCCTGGATCATTTTAAATCGCTTCTTAAAACTCATTTTTATTCTTTGGCATTTACTTGAAGTGTTTTGATAATCTGTTTTTATTAATTAGTACTGTTGTTTGTCCTGTACAGCACTTTGGTGCAGTTTTATACCTGTTTTTAAAGTGCTATATAAATAAATTTGACATTGACATTGACATTAGCTGAAAGCAAGCTAATCTAAATATACATCTGAAAGAGGAAGGACATATTCCTTTCTACAGGGATCTATAAAAGCTGGTTCATACTAGTTCCTTTGTCTTTTCTGCAGAATGTCTTCTGTAATCCTGCTTTTGAGCTGGGAGGGGAGCAGGAGGAGAGGATGGAGGGATTCAGGACATCCTCATCCACCCCTGAACCAATCAAACCCCCAGCAGCCAGTGAGTTGGACAACCTCTGACCTTTAAATGACACTGATGGCTAGCACAAACTCAGACTAACAGGCTAACTCGTCCTCAATTGAGGAGTCATGAAACATATGCAATCTCTTGCCCTGATTTTACCTCGACAGAAAATAACTTATGTCACATGTAGTGTTCTGAAACTGCTCATCATCATGGTTCGTGCATTTTATTTAGCCTAAGCCAATTAAGAAATTATGTTATCAAATGTGTGTGGCTATAATCTGTCAATCAGGTCGAGGTTTTCTGGAAGTGTGCTTGATGCGTTTCCGTAGTGCGGGCGGTGGATGGGGGGTGGTGGTGGTCTCTGCCGCTGCCCTGCTCCTGTTAACAGCCATCGGATTGGCACTGGCTCTTATTCTAACTCGTGAGTCCCTGCTGCACCACAGTTATTCATCGTGCAATAGAAGATATTTGAGGATTACTTTTTGCTTCTTACTCTATTTCTAGATGTATTTCTGTTCTCTTTTTTATTTAGAGCTGAGGGACCAGATAATAGATGATCGGCTGGCTACATCCTCTGTAGGCCTGCAGAGTACAGGACATGAAGTTTCCCACACTTCACCCACGGTACCTTCAAATATCAGCCGCATAGGCAGCACAGCCTCAGCACAGCCTGCCAGGATCCCCAGGCCTGAAACAAGTAGGTCCATCCTAAATTAAGACTTTTGATTTCTCCTTTTTCTCCCTAGATTACATTTTTATTTCTGTCTGTCAGGTTGCGGAGGCGTTATGACTGACTTAGGGAACAGTTTCAGTTCTCCAAACCACCCGGGCCCCTACCCCCCAAACTCACATTGCGTCTGGGTGATCCAGGTTCCACCTCCTCACTTGGTTCAGATTCGTATTTCCTCTTTAGCAGTGGAGGGACCGTCCCCCTGTCTGTTTGACTGGTTGGAGGTTCAAGAACAGATCGAGGAGACCTCTGTTTTCACCAGGTTGGTCGGGCCTTAGGGAGGAGGAGAAAGCAAACATTTCATTTTAATACCACACATTTACATGAAACTGCTTAACTGATTCCACCTTTTCCAGTAAATATTATTATAAAAAGACACAAGATGGCGCTAAAGATTTGCATATGACATTGAGGAGATCTTGAACAAAGAGGGCTTAAAGGAATAGTACACCCAAAATATGATTAGCCTTCATTTTCTACTCACCCCCATGCTGAACAACACTCTGGAGTACTTTTTTGATATCTCAAATGCATCTGGAGATCTGGGAGGCTTCTTGCTGTCTGCTGACATTCAAATAATGGAGGTCTATGGTGCCCGAGGCAGAAAGGTCCATAAAAGTCCACAAAAAACGTGTCAATATTCCTCCATACTGCTCGTCCAATGTATTCCAAGTGTCCTGAGTGGGTAGCATCCAGAATTTACTCGAAACGAAGTCATTTAGAATGTTTTTAGAGCATAAACAGTAGTGTATAGGATTTCCTGAAAGCGCGCGCCTGCGCGTTCACGACGCTACGGAAGCCGGCAGACCAAACCAGATGAAAGTGCGCATTCAGCGTCTGCTCTGCCGATAATGCAAGCGTAGAAGAAGGCGCGCGCTTTCAGGAAATCCTATACACTTCTGTTTATGCTCTAAAAACATTCTGCCTCGGGCACCATAGACCTCCATTATTTGAATGTCAGCAGACAGCAAGAAGCCTCCCAGATCTCCAGATGCATTTGAGATATCAAAAAAGTACTCCAGAGTGTTGTTCAGCATGGGGGTGAGTAGAAAATGAAGGCTAATCATGTTTTGGGTGTACTATTCCTTTAAAGGGTATTTAGATTTACTTGGTAATATCCATCTTTTTGCATTCAGTCTTTGAAAATGTTGGAACTTATTGGTAAAATAATAAATATTTTGCATACAGACCCTAAGAATTGTAATGGATGCTTAATAAAAGTGATTCAAATAAACCACAAGCCTTTCTGCTGCAGGTTCTGTGGTAGTGTGGCCCCTCCAACGCTCAACACCAACAGCAGTACCGCGTGGGTCACCTTCCACTCTGACGGCAGCATCGGCGGTAACGGCTTTGCTGCACAGTACAGAGCCGTCCTGCCTGCACAAAGTCAGTCCTGGGTGTATATGCAAGCTTATATTTATTTATACTATCACCTTATCATCTTTTGTGTTTTCGCATAGAGAGCTGCAGTAGTGAAGAGTTAATGTGCGACGGAGGCCGCTGCCTTCTGCCCGTGTCTGTGTGTGATGGTCACCCAAACTGTAACGACCAAACAGATGAGGCGTACTGCAGCCAGAAGAAGAAAGGTGGAAACATAAAAGCTGTTAGGAAGGAAACAGGGATGTTCATGAAGAACACACAAGTGACCATTGCTGTTTTTCAGAATGTGGAGGCCAGAAGTCTGGAAACTATGGGTACCTGGCAAGTCCAAATCACCCCAGGCCTTATCCTCATCAACTGGTACTACTGGAAAGACTGGCTGCTACCAAAGAAAAACACTCAACCGCTGATAAATGAAAAAGCAACGTCATCTTTGTTTTCTAGTTGTGCATGTGGTATATATCTGTGGACGAGGGTCACGTCATCAACCTGAGCTTCAGAAACTTTAGCCTGGAAACCCAGGATGTGTGTGAGTTTGACTATGTTGAAGTTCATGACGGCGGCAGCATTGGAGCCGGGAGGGTTTTAGGAAGGTAAGGTCGACACAGTCCGTTAGAAACTATAGAAACGTTTGTCTGTCCCTCAAACTGAGCTCCATAAGTAGAGATAAAGCAGCTCTACTGTGCGTTGCTGACAGGTACTGTGGCACCACCTTCCCACCAGACCTCACCTCCTCTGGCTCCCACATGACAGTGGTGTTTGTCGCTGATGAGGGTGTGGCCGACAGCGGCTTTAACGCCACATACCAGGCCATCTCTGTGCTGAACAGTGAGTTCTCAGCTTTTAGAAAGTTACTGATTTACTTCTCACTCCCCCTCTATCTTTTTTATCCCCATGATTCTCAGATTGGTCATAAGAAGACAAGATGATGCTTATTTATATGTTAAGTTCCTGACAAATATCCATCGACACAAAACTCCAGCAGTCCTTCATCGGACTGTGCAAGTGGAATCAAAAGAGGTTCATTCTATTAATATGAATGAAATCGGCCTCTGGTTTAGATTGAGGAATTGTAACTATGATCTGGGTCTGTTCTGCATTTGGCAAAAAGAAAATAATTACAGTGTCTTGCAAAAGTATGAATTTCCTGTTAGGGATTTTAATGTTAAATCAACACAAAATAGTTCATAAAACATTGATTGGTTTTACTCAATACACCAAAAAGCGACAAAACAAGATTTATCAAGAGCTATAATATAGATTTTATAATTATTGAGTCTCTGAAATTAAACAAAAACATTCTATTTTTATGAATTTAGAAGAAAAATTATTGACCTCAAGCACTAAATATACTAATTGGTTTAAGTAGAATGAGTCAAGCTAAGTGAGGGACAGTTAAAAGATTAAGAAAAATAGTTATAAACCACATACATTAGACAGTCTATCCGGATATTGCATGAAAACTTAAAGAAAAAGGGCTGAGCAATCATTAGAATATGTAACCTCAAACCTCAAGTCTCTGTGTTACTCCCTTGTATTATTTTTATTTTATTTCTTATTTTTATTCTTTTTATTTTATTTTTCTTATTCCTAATGCACCTTTTCCTCCTTGTTTGCACCTTCTTTAATTACTATGCCAATATGTGACCAGTGAATTTCTCCGCTGTGAGATCAATAAAGCTCATCTAATCTAATCTAATCTATTTCAATTTATTAAAACGCAATTGTCTAATCGCAGAAGCACTCAATTTTGGTAACATTATATTTAACAACAGTAAAAAACTGCATTTCTCTCTCCAGCCCTTAAGGTGGCTGTACGACACCAACAGTGGGTTTACCGCCACATAGAAAGAGAGCTGCAACTAGCATGCAGATCCATGCATGCAAATAGTAATAAACACTTTTCTATATAAAGATTACAATAAAGTCCTGCAACAATGGACTCTGGAAAAATACATTTTAAAGGTCATGAAAAATTGAAACTGTGCGAAATATCTCCATGCTTCTGAATAGTGCAAAGGAAAATTGAAATAAAATCACAATAGTGGTTAAAAATAATTGCAATTTAGATTTTTGGCTAAATTGTTGAGCCTTAACACTTTAAAGCCTGATCCAAGAATAAAACAAAACAGAAAATTACTTTTTTTTTGGCTTGAATTCCTTATTTGCCCTTTTAACAAAATATGTAAAAAGAAAAAACAGAAATACATTTTTGATATTAATAATTTATTACTATGCGATAAATCAAGATTATTTTTTGTGTAGTCTTCTACTGGCTGTTATCAGGTATATCTGATTGTGTACAATAGGATTTTGAGCAAAGTTTTTACCATTAAATTATGTAAAAGGTGTCAGATGCAAAACATTTCAGAAACCGTATGTATCAAATACATTTGGCATTATAGCGTTAAAAAGAACCCTTTTTCATTGCCTTAAAAGTCATTTCTTATTCTGCCCCGTTTAAAGTCACGATAAACTCAAGAGAATAAAACATAAATAGGCCAATTTGGGTTTCAACCTACGTGGAAAACACAATTCATACCAAGGAACTAAATCTGCACACAGCATTCCCTTGGTTTCCTATGGTGATGGCAGTATCATGCTATGGGGAGGTGTTTCAACAGCACAGCCAGGATTTTTTTAGGCCTTAAAAACAGGACAGTTCTAATGAAAAACCTGTTAGTGGCAACAAAGACAAAAGCCTGGGGCAGATATAATAACTAAACATATGACTAGAGGTATAAAGGCATACATTTTAACTCAAAACACACAAAATTGTTGTTCAGAACCAAGATAAGATTTACAACCAAAAAATAACACAAGAATGTCAGTCTAGTTGTTAAAATTGATGCAATATACAAACCCCTTTTGAAATATCTCACCATTAATTTTAAATCCACAGCCACAATTGAATCAAGGAATTAAGTTCTAATATAAAATATTATTTTCTGGACATATGACTCTGAAGAGGCCTAAGCACAGGTTGCCATGCCAACCTTTGTTGTTTTCTGTTTTCCTCTAACAGAAACATGCCGCCCTGATGAGTTTTCCTGCAGCACAGGGGTGTGTCTCCACCAGCAGCTGCTGTGTGACGGCTGGAACGACTGCCCAGATGGAGCTGATGAGCAGAGCTGTGGTAACTCCACCTACCCTCCTTTCAGTAAGTCCATCTTATCGCTGACCTCAATCAAGAAGGGATGCAGGGTTTTTTTTTGTCTACTGCTATTGATAAGTTGACATAGGAGACAATCTATTGTTCACATTAAGGCAAAGGAAAGAGACGTAGCTCAGATTAAAAAAAGATGCCCCAGTTTAAAGGAACTTCAGTTCCTTTATTGTTGAATGGATTTGCCTAATGTTCTTCTGCTGTTTGTTTCTGAATAATGAAACCAGCTTCCTCGTGTGAGATCATAGAGGTGGAGATGTGTCAGGGCCTCAGTTACAACATCACCTCATTCCCCAACATATGGATGTCCATCTCTGACCAGAGGGAGGCTGCCACACTTCTAAGACAATACAGGGTAACGTTTCCCTCCAAAATGTTGCCCTAACTCTACCTCCACCATGATCATCAGGTTTTAATCTCCTTTATGGCCAGGTGCTAATGGAGATGACATGCTTCGAGCCGCTACGGAAGCTGGCGTGCGGGATGTTCCTTCCTCAGTGCAGCCCTCAGGGTGGCGTCCTGCAGCCCTGCCGCTCGGTCTGCTCCTCTGCCGAGCAGCAGTGCAGCCGGGCCTTAGACCTCCTCTCCTTTAGCTGGCCTTTCAACTGCCACCTCTTACCGGACTCAGAAGACCCTGTGGAGTGCTCCCAACCTTAAACCTGTTACTGCAAAAACTCATTACTGCATTCATGATTTAAAATTTTACATTCGCACTTTTATCCCCCTTAAAGACAGACTAAAGCTGCAAAACTATGGAATGAATTTTATTCAATTATTGTTGCAAGCAAAAACGTTTTGTAAAGGGGAATTTGAAACAGTCCATTAAAACTGAAAAACATTTCAAACGTCGGATAGTTTCATAAATTGCAATCTTTTCAATCAACATTCTCTTTATTTCAGGCCCCTATAACAGATAAGCTTAGAAAAGCTTGCTTGACGCTCATGTTGACCAGTGGATCTTTGCTACTTCCTCCAGAGGAAAGCCCAGACCGAAAAGCGAATACGATCTTTAAAACACAATTTGGGAAGAATGCAATTCATAAAACACAAATATTTAAAGAGACATTTGAGGTTTTTCAAATCATTGATTTTTGGATTACATTTTTATTTATAAAAACTTGCTCTTTACTTGCAACAATAAGGGAACACAATTCCCCCCATAATTTTCCCTCAAGAACAAAAAAGCTATTTAAAGTGAAACTTTAAACCTTTTAAAATAATAGATCCAAAAGTCACATTACATGTCTACAGAAATATTAAACTGACTTTTTCCTTATTTATTGTTTTCATGTCAGTACTGTAAAAACTAAAAAGCCATAATGGGAACAAAAGTTGCTTTAAAATCATCTTTATTACATTGTTCCAGTTATAAAACACTGATTATTTAGGCTTTAATATCAGTCTGGGTTCAATCAAGAAGGAAATAATGAGGTTAACATGATCAAAGGCAATCATTGGGCTCTTTTTTATAGATGTGCTTGTTTCAATATAAAGGACTTCATAAAAAAAATATCGACTCCTTCAATTTATTAGTTTAAAAAAAAAAAAACACCAGAAAAGGAAAGTTTAAACTGTCATTTTCTTCAGTAAGTTTAGCAAAACCTGGCAGAGCTCTCTAATCAAAATAGATCATTATATGTTCAGCCAATACAAAGTAAACAATAAAACACAACAGGAAATGGATAACTATAAATCAGAGGAAGTGAAAGAAATTTTTCACTTATTATTCACGTTTGCTACACAGGAAAACGTGTTCAAGCACTGAACACCTCAGTAACAGAGCTGTATGGAGGTATAATGAGTTTCAGAGTGTTGTCCAGTGCGACTGCAGTCAGACCCCACACCCGATGCTTCCCGTTCCGAAACACTGGAAGGGTGTATCCGTACTTGTCACCGGTACGGAAGTTTGTGTAGCCGCGGTTCTGGGAATTGCACAGGTGCGATAAGGACAAGGTGAAGATCTCGTCCACCTGGAAAACAAATTTAATTTGCGGATGTTTTCCAACATGAAACCAAACTATTACACCTGATATTACTGGGTCAAATCATGATAAAAAGAAAACAACAGATTGTGTTGCATATCTGACTGTACCTCCTCTGGGTTCGGTTTGAAAGCCAATTCCTCAAGTGGACCAAGGTTAGCCAACACTGGAGCGATCATCATCCCTGACTGCGGAGAAATACCAACATATAAAGCCCACTCAGAACAAAAGGAAGTCCCAAATCACGGATTTTTCTCACCTTTTTGTCAAATTCTTGGCCATTTTAACATTTGCTTTAATCCAAGCCATGTCATTAAAGCCCAGGCTGCATATTTAACATTGTTTCCTTGATGGAAAGTGAATCTTTACACTAAAAAGTATTCTACCAGCTATGATCCATATTTAGCGCCACAAAGGGTAACCTTACTAGTGTTTGTTGAGCCATCCAGCTGGCTTTATTGGAGGGAGATTTCTTTCCATGATGGCTTGAAAATCTTTAAGCTGACATTCTTGAAACCTCTGCTTCACTTTTTTCTAGCTTTCTTGGTCTAATTTTTATGTTTTTATTCCCTATTCTTCTCTAACAAACATTAAGTCATCTCTCATAACAGCTGGTATTACAGTAGTGATGGTGAGATGAGGCATTGAACCGTTTTGGCTAATTGCTTCAACAGTCCCCACAGTTCATGAAACTTCATGTGAACATGTCACCACCTACTGGTGGAATGGAGAACTACAGTTAGTAATATAATCTGTGATTTTTGCTGTTGTTTTTCCCCCATTTAAGTTCCTTTTAAATTGTTATTGATTGGTCTGTATAATAAAATCTTTTGTACGTTTTTTTGTGTGTGTAAAATGTCTTAGAAGAGAAATCATTTAACATACACTGTTTTTCTGCCATTTTATGGAAATAAGCTCAAGCATACAGTGAAAGCGTTTGTGCAAATTGGGCAATGATGAGAAAAATGAAAGGAGTTGGTCATTTTTATTCAAAAGTAATAGTTTTTCTACAGTTTTTGGTTTTGATTAGGTTTGAAGTTGTGTTCAACCAATCTTTTGGTTAAACTAACCAACTTTGGCAATGTTTTTACCCAATCTATATTTATACAAGGGCAAACCAATAAAAATTAGTCACATAAGCCAAAATACTTTTTAAGTTTTATGGCAACTTTCAAAAGTCTGAGGGGGGTTTTGAACCACTAACCTCAGGAATGGAAGTCAATGTCTTTAAAAGCAATAACACTTAACACTAATCTTACAAATGTAACCAGTGGTTTGCTCAGATTTTGATCACTACATTGTTTAATCTAACCAAACTAGTTTTACCCACCTAGATGCTTGTTTTTCCAACCAATCTATTCTTAGAATATATCCAAACTCTATCCAGCTGACCGCAACTCTCCTACAAACTCCAACATCTTGACTGAATACTGAGGCTGATTAAATGCCTGTCGAAGTTCCGGAAGAGCTGAACCACTTCCTGAAGGGTCACATGGTACGGCGGGGTAGAGAGGCTTTGGACGTCATCTATTTTGGAAGTAAATAGTTTTTAAATAGTTTGATTCTGATTTTGCTTTTCTGTCTCCATTACAGAACTTTATATGTACTGTTGCCTTGTGAAATTGTAAGGTATTTTTTCTCACAAAATTTCCCAAGTGCTTTTAAACACATCAACAAATTCTTAACCTCAAAGACCGATTTTGGGTACTAGCATTCCTGACCTTTTTATTGAGCCATAACACCAACCTCTGCTTTCTAATCAGGTGCTTTGGCTCTGTAATGCTTACAGCTTGTAATCAATCAGTCTGTCAAATGAAAGTTGACCAATGGCTTTGAGCCATCAAAGCAGCCATGTCTGAGGAAGCATCGAGCCAAAACAAAAAACTAAAGAATTCAGTTTTGACGTGAGAAAAGAGAACTGTTGATGCTCACAAAGGAGGTGAAGAAAGTAAAAAGTGATCACAGAGTTTTGAAGTGTCAAGAAGTGGAGTAAGTGTTTCTTTGTTGTGCCTTTTTTTTTACACTAAATCCTTTTAAATTAGTTGTTATGGCTTTAATGTGAGAGAAAGTAAAAAGATGTAACGAATGTGATAATTTTGCAATGTTGCAATATTCAAAACTCACTTAGGATATTTTAAAAATGACTTTCAGTTATTTAAAAAGCCTTTTGTTTTTGTTTTTAATATTAAATTATGATTTCTTTTGATTGAAAAAAGAGTCCAATCAAAGTTAGTGTTCAAATAAGTTTAACTCACTGCGTCCCTCAGAGGTTTCATGACCCCCCAGACCCTCTCAATGGGAACAGTGACTCCCAGCTCCTCTCTGGCCTCCCGCAGTGCTGTGGCCACTACATCCCTGTCTGACGGGTCGCTCTTTCCACCGGCAAAGCTGCAAGAACGACATAAATTAGTACTCAGAATCAATAAAACATAAAAAATGCAGCTGTTTAACATGGTTGCAACTGATTTTCCAAGTCTTCCACTAACCTGACGTCTCCTTTGTGTTTGCCTTTTAGCATACAGGAGCGCAAAGTAAACAGAAATGCTGGCCCCCCCTCACTGTGGCAGAGGGAAACCAAGATGGAGGCCCACTTCCCCTTGTTCTTCCCATGAGTATGACTGGCTCCTTTTCTGATTTTGTCCATGTCGTAGAGCTTCCAATTGGCCTGCAGTATCTGTCGGCATCTGTTTTCGTTCTCAGGAGACAGGCAGTCCCTCCAGGTGTCTGCCACACGAGGCGCCGCCTGATGAACAGTTCGGATTTGATGCAGGGCCAGTGTTTTAAAGTGGAACTGGTTTAAGATCCAGCGTTTAGGTGCCGCCATATTGAAAGTGTTATAAGAGCCGTGCTTGCGGTGTAGACAGTTCTGGAGAAGGTTGCATCGGCTTTTACTGACGACACTAAATGTAGTCTGACACGGATCCCAAGGCCAGAAAGTGCTGTTGATTAGACGCTCCCAGAGGGTGCTGAAAAGATAAGATTCTACTTTGGTTTTGGCACAGACCTGAGGTGGGTGATCATGGCTTCTCAAAGTGGCTTTGGAGGGGAGTTTCTCACATATATGACCGCCCAGCTGATACTCTGCACCGACAGAAGACAGCTGAGTGGAACGGCATAAAGCCTTTGTGTCTTTTTCATGCTTTTGCTCACATCTCCTGTCATAAATGTGTCTTACTTCCAGCCACGCAGAGCCAAAGTGTTCAGAGAAAGCAAAAAGGTAAGGTTCTCTCAACAGCCGGGGAGACCTCAAGGGACACGCCCAGACCAGGACTCTTGGACTCCTAAACATCCTGTAAAAAAAAACAGAAACATGCAGGTAGATCTATGATGTTAACCAGAGAGACTTGAGCTCATTAGCCAGAAACACCATCAAAGATGTTCATCTGAGCCTGATGCTGCATCTTACAGAAGAGAAAAAAACTTCATAGATTAAAAATATATTACAAGGGCTCGATGTTAACCATCGCCCGATCTCAAGAAGTTTTTATTGTTGGGACAGTACAAATTTCATTGGATCGCAAAAATTTTTTATTTATCACTCAAAATTACTTTAAAATCACAGACATTCGATGAAAACGAACCAGAAACGTTAAGGCCGCCATTTTTGTTGTTTTGTACACATTCTCGCGTGATTTGAAAAAGCCGGGTGATTTTTGTCCACCTAGCTGTAATTTCGATGTAGTTACCAAAACAACAAAAAAGCTACAAAGCGCCATTGTACCTGTGTTTCTGAATCATTTTATTCACATAATCACTAAAAAAATCACCTACATTCGAAGAAAACGACCCAAAAGCGTTGTCTTAATTTTTTAACCTGTCAAGCTTTTTTTTAATTTTTAACATTACAATTTATATTTTTCCAAGCACACAACAGTTTAAAGCAAAGTTTAGTTTGAAAAGAATGTGCAGGAAGGATTGAAAAGCATGTTAACACGGTAATGTAGGCTTGAGTTCATTATCTGACGCTTGCATATACCAACCAGGAACCTGGAAACTTAAAAAATACTGAACTACAAAAAACATTTAAAAAACAAACATGTTTCATTGATATATATATACAAAAATGAATGTTAGGAACTATATTTATCAAACATTATACTGGGCAAGTAAAAATTGTTTCTGGGCAAATGAAATGTAAAAGTCACTTGCCCAAAGGGCAACAGGTAAAAATCCTTAACGTCAACCCCTGAACTCTCACCCATTGGGAGTGAGACTCACCCATCTCAGTGTCTTCATACACTCTCACTCCATATTCTCAATTTATCACACTAAAAAATGACAGACAACTCAACTCCATTCCACTTATTTATGTATAAAATACCATGGTGATCAAGAACCAGTCCGCGTTTTTAATACAACCTTAGTGCTAACACATGAGAACATGTCAGGTTCATATTTAGCCCTTTTTCCCACCCAGTCACTGTGCCAGATATTGAACAAAGACAGTTCTTAAGAGGTATGTCTTTTTAATTTTTATTTTATCTCATCTGCACTAGGATAATTCTGTTTTTAAATTATTTAAGATTTTAAGCCTCTCGAACCCATAGAAGCTCCACAAAAAGAAAAAGAACCATTGCATTTTATTTTTCATAAGATCAGCCACCAAAGAAAAGATGAATCAAATCCAGAGAGGATGTGCAGAACAGCTCAGTTATCCAGGATTCATTAAGGGAGAACCACGCGGATGTTCTCTTTTTATTATTACTTATCTTACTTATTTATCCTTAATCTTGTTCCATTGAATATGTTAACTTAATTTCCATCACATTTTCCAAATGAAACATCCAGAGAAGTACTGTCTCCTGTCATGGTGAGTTTTTATAAAAATCCACAGCCTCCTAGAAGGTCTTAATTGTTTAGCTGTTTTGTCAATTGTAAGAAAAACTAATAAAATAATGAAAGAAACTTTTTAATCCTTAGCCTATTACCAAATATTCATACACAGTGTAATTTGCATGGGATTTGATTGCACTGGTTCCTGTATTAGTGCCAGTAATCCAGTGATAACTTATCAGTTTCCCATTGTTTATTTTACTTAAACTGCAGATAATTGTTAATAAAAGCAAGTTGCAAAATGAGTTTAAAGTACATTTAAAATGCAAGTATTTCAAGTAGGGCCTATTCTGCTTTACTTTAATTCTCTAAAGGTTACCAAAATAGGGAAAATAATATATATTGTGGGGAAAATGTTCCACATAACTACAGATCACTTATTGTTACTCAGTAATATTTGCTGTGCTGTGAAAAAAAAAAATCCCACATTCTGTTTGTTGTTTCAGTTTTATCCTCTGAAAACCTCCAACCTTTCTGCACATATATCCTCATCTAACCCTGACAGGGTTTCCTGTCCAAACTATTTCAAAATCTCACCCCGAGATTTGCTGAAAAGTTGGCAGCCTTATATAAAACATTTAAAAACACATTAGAAATCACAAAAGAAAACGACTTTTAGTTGGGGTTTTTTAAAAGAAAAAACACTTTTAAAACAATATATTAAAACACATTTTTCTAGAAGCTAAGTTTTTGCACAAAGTCAAACTTCGCTGCTACCTGACTTCATTTAAAGTTGCTTTACTCCATCTTCAGGTAGTTATTTAATCAACATTAATCCACAAAATAATCAATATCTTCTTTGTTTGACGAGCTTCCATGCAAATCAACCCAAACTAGCAAAACATTAGCAACACTTAAAGCTAGCATGCTAATGGAAACATTAGCAGAGCTCATATTTGTGTTTTTCCAAACTGCAAAAACTCAGCGTGTCTCACTAAATTCGAATATTTGTCAATGGAATATTTACTACAACAAACATAACTTAAGAGTAGATTATTTTTTTCTCATAGAGGGGAGAAAATCAATAATACCTGGTCAATCGTCGCGGTACCCGGCTAACTGCTTTGGGGTCCGCTCCTTTGTCTCATGACGGCGCCACACTGGGGAGGAGGAATGGCTTTTGGCGAGGGAGGGGTGAAATGCTCAACTAGTTATACTCAGATTTCTTTACAGAAAAAAAAAAAGCTTACAAGGTTAATATGCAAAAAATAGAAATGAAATAAATGGATATCGGTTAAACACAAGCCTGGCTGTTAAAAAGGTTGAATACCATCAAAATGCCCTGATCAAGAGCTCAGATCTCACATTATCTACCCTTGACTGCAATATGGGCCCCTCTGCCCCTGTTAAATTAACCCTGGCCTATTTTGAAAACATACAGTGCAAAGTTTAAATATGTCATTTTTTCTTGTGATACGTGTATTTTTCCTTGATTTAAGCAGATAGATGAGAACATTTTCTCTGCGTATACAAAATGCCAATAAAAGTTTGTGTCTAAAAAAATCTGCCAATAGAATAAGAATAAGGTTTAAATAACGGGAAATAAATAACTCCATTATGTCATTTCAAATGCATACAGTAACGTCTTTAGTCTTATTTTAAGGGGGGAAATATTAAGTTATTTGGCAGATCATTTATTACCTGCTAAAATGAAGAGATAAATAACACTTATTTAAATAACAATTTGCCTATTTTTAGCTTAGTCTACTTTTATTTTTAGTCTAACGCTAAATCAATTTCTTATAATGACTTTAATTTTAGAATTCTGACTTTTTTTCCTCAGAATTCTGATTTTAATCTCAGAATTTTGGATCTTAATGTAGGAGCACTGACAAAGATGTGAGTTGTTTGGGGGGGCAGTAACACATTGGTAGAAAATGCCAGAATTAGATGACTTTTTACGTGCCGAGGGGTCCCGGTGATGCTCTTCCATTAATGGAAGAGCAGAAGGTGATTAAAACAAGAGAGTTAGTTTAGTCTCTAAAACAGACATGGCTGCGGCTTGGTGCTAACATGTCAGTCAGTTGTCAGAATTCAGTCAGAATTCTCAGGAAAAAAAGTCTGAATTCCGAGATTAAAGTCAGAATTCTGAGAATAAAGTCAGTATTCTGAGAATTTAGTCAGAATTCTGCGATTAAAGTCAGTATTATGAGAATTTAGTCAGAATTCTGAGATTAAAGTCAGTATTCTGAGAAATTTGTCAGAATTCCAAGATTAAAGTCAGTATTCTGAGAATTTAGTCAGTATTCTGAGAATTTAGTCAGAATTCTGAGAAAAAAAGTCCTGAATTTTAAGATTAAAGTCAGAATTCTGAGATTAAAGTCAGTATTCTGAGAAATTTGTCAGAATTCCGAGATTAAAGTCAGAATTCTGAGAATAAAGTCAGTATTCTGAGAATTTAGTCAGAATTCTGAGGGGGAAAAAAGTCAGAATTCTGAGATTAAAAGTCAGAATTCTGAGATTAAAGTCAGTATTCTGAGAATTTAGTCAGAATTCCGAGATTAAAGTCAGAATTCTGACTTTTTTCCCCGTATCATACTGAAGTAAAATGTAAAAATTAGTTAACCTTTTTTATTTTTTCAGTGGCCCTAATCCTCTTCCGTAATAACTTGCTAGACAGGTACACACACACACACACCATATTCATGAACTCTCTACACAGCCTACTGCGAAATACGCATAATCTAAACGTTATAAAATTATTTAACTAAATCATCTTCATACAAACTGATCAGATTTCTACAGGGTATTTGGCTTTATTGGGTCCTGTTGCTATTTGTTTTTCTGTTTTGTCTTCTTTGGACAAAAACCTTTCAATAGTTTGCAATGGTGTGAAAATGATGCGGACCCAAATCAATTGCGTCACTTGCGTTAGTCCCGCCCTTGCGTTAGCCCTCAGCTGACGTCAACGTCCCTCACATTAACTTGTTTTTCTCCTTTTTTATCAAACAGGGGCTGGGTTAGTAGTAGAAGAGAAAATGTTAATAATCAGCGATTAAATCCTCGCAGAATGATGTCATTGTTCCTCAGGGCCGAAAAACCAGTTTGTCTTGTTTGTCTGTTTTTTTCCTAAATGGACAAAAACTGCTCTTCATTATGATCATTATTAAAAACATAATATAACCCACAGTGAGTTTAATCTGTAAAATATTTATAATATTTAGTTTGTGTTGTTCATCTTAAAATAAACTTTAGTTAAACTTACAAATAATTGAAAAACACCAGTGACATAATTGGAAGAAACTCCTCACCACACCTGTTTCACAAGCCCCACCCCAAACCTGCTTAAGTATTTCAGTTGCATGTGATTCAAGTCAACTGCCACCTCTAAACCTAAACCTCTTGCTGTCTATACTCGTTTTGTTTTAAGCGTTGCTTTTTGTTAACTGTAGCCTTAATTGCGAGGGATCCATACCTTCAAGACCTCAAGAATCATCATGGCCTCAACTTGGCCCGAAGAGGAAAGCTTTGCCTGCTCTGTATGCCTGGAGACCCTAAAAGACCCCATTACCTTAACATGCGGACACTCTTACTGCTTGAACTGCATCGAAAACCACTGGGACAAGGAAGATGGCAAAGGTCAATACAGCTGCCCTCAGTGCAGGCAGCTCTTCGCTCCTCGGCCAAGCGTGGCCAAAAACACTCTGCTTGAACAGGCCATGGAGAAACTAAGAACCAACAGCTTGAAGCAAAACCATGCGGTGGGCATCTATTCATCTGAACCAGCACTGCCCTTCTACTTAGACTTATCAGATGTTGGGCCTAGAAAGGGGAGCGTTTACCCACAGCTGCCTTCGATGGAACCCAGACCCTGCCCTAAACACAAGCAACCGCTGGATCTGTTCTGCCATGAAGATAAGGAGTGTGTGTGTGTGATGTGTTGCCAACAGGGACACCCTGGACATCACGTGGTTAGACCACAAGAAGAGAGAAGAGAGAAACAGGTATGCAAGTGGAAAATGTAACTCCCGTCTTGGTGAAGGGTTTGGTGTGTTTTATGTTGATTGGGTGAGTAGAATAAAGACTGAATGACGAACAAACATTGTCTTTTTGTTCTGATGTGATGCCACCACCATGGGTTTATTTTCTTTGCTCTATCTGTCTAGAAAGAGCTGGTCCAGATGCAATCAGAGGTACAGAGGAGAATTCAGGAGACTGAGCGGAAGATCATGGAGGTCCCTCATACGGCTCGTCAACAAAAGGTTTGAACTTCCTATATTCTAGTTCTCCTTTTTGTGTATTTTATTTGTCAGACATTTATACGTTTTGTGTCTTTTTCAGGCTTTGCTGCAGGCCCTTCAAAGGGAGAGTTCTGACTTATTTCCTGAACTGGGGAAGAGTGTCGATCTCACAGGGACGCAGGTTGGTGAGCTGCTGAGTGCCCATGAGGCCGTCTTCGATGGTCGCGTTGATGAATTGGTCAAGAGTTTAGAACAAGATGTAGCACAGCTCCATCACAGGAGTGAAGAGCTAAACAGACTGGCCTACATGCAGGATAACATCAGCTTCTTGAAGGTAAAGCAGGATGTTCATTTTCTGTTTTTTTTTTAAATGAAATAAATGGGTTGCTGTTGATTTACTTCCTGAATCTTTGCAACATTTTTCTCTGAAGAATTTCTTCCTCATTGAGCCGTTGGGTCAGACTGGAGGCCCGGGACAGTTTGGGATAAGTCAGGAGGAAGCTGTCGCCTCCATTCGGTCGGTCATTAAAGATTTGCAAGAATCTGTACAAGAACTCTGCAAAGACAGTTTGGCCAAGATTGTCAAAATAGGTCAGATTCTCGTTCCTCTTCCTCATTGTTTTTCTTTATTTCCTGTCCTCAAGAACAGTGGTTTTCAAAGTGATGGCCGCCAGGGGGCACTAGAGGGGCCTAAAAAAATAGTTTAAACATGAGGGTAAAATATATGCAAAAAAAAGATTATTATAATAACAATATAATTTGTAAAAAAATTGTAATTAAAGTTAAAAAAAAATGTGTGGATTTAATCCCTTTATACGGCGCTCAGTAAAATACTTTGAAAATCAGAATTTCAAGCCAATAGTGTTATTGGAATCAGGACAAGACCTTATTACACTTGTAACATTTAATCAAATATGGATATTTTGATCGGAAAAAAATTAATTTCAATGTAGTACCAACAAACACCAATTTACCCGAACATGTAAAGAAACATAAAAGTAAAATAAAAGCACTTATATTTTTTTTACTAAATAAAAAAAATAAGTGTTTCTTTGAGAAACACTTTTACAACATAACCTTAGAGGCATTAATGCTGATACTGGCACCTACATCTTTTAGTTAATAAACCTAAATATATTTGTTAATTAAGCTTATTAACTTTTAGCTTTACCTTTTAACTTTTTAATTAGCTTTTTACCCTTTTTTTTTTACATTAACTTTTTTTCAAATTGTTTTATAGTAGGTAATATATCATTCAAGGGCTCATCTAATTGGTCAAATGCCAAAATAAGTTGTACAGCCATGTAGCAGCATCTTTGCTGAATGGCTGGATATAGATCTTTTGCTTCTAGACCTCACTGAGGGATTGGGGGGACTCCAATTGTAAGGGAAATGCAAGTGATCAAAAACGCTACAGTAACTTGCCCTATAAATGGCTAAAATCAATATTGAGGCAAACTATGTCAGAGGACTATTCTCATCTTGGCTGACAGGGTATTGAAATGCCTTTTCCCTTTTGCAAAAACTTTCTTATGCGAGTCTTGCTTTTTGAACTTTAAAAAATACTCAGAGATGGCAAAAGTACTCACTTTCTGTACTTGAGTAAAAGTA